ACATTTAAAAAAATTTGAAAGGTTAGATATAGCAGAAAAGGAAGCTGGATTTCAGAGACTTTTTGATTTTTGTTTTAATGGCCCCAACTCATTTTAGTGTATATAATCTTAGAAACTCATTTTGGTTTGCTTAAAAGTGAGGAAATGCATTTCAAAATAAAAAAGTTGCATTCACTTTATAGAAATACAGTAATTCCATGGGTCCATATTCGTGCAATACTTCATAACTAATACTGCATCATTTACAAGCCTTAAGATGGAAAGAGTAGGTAAAATAATTAGGTAAATAAAAATAGATACTTTTGGAAATTGTAGTAGTTCTGAAACATACTGTGTGTAGTCAGGGTGAGAGCAGAGGATGAGATACAATGTGCATGAAATGCCGCAGGATTATGCAAGCGAGGCAGGTGCATCTGGTAAAGTGTATCGATAGCTCTGTCCTGAGATGTTATTTAGAATGACTGAAAAATATGTTTGCGATGATCTAAGTACCATGATTAGTAAAACAATACATTTGACTTAGTGCCTTTGAGGTTCACTCCGTCTGGGTGATATTTAGAGGTGACAGTTTGGTAGCACCTGCTACCTTAAATTAATAGCATGCTTGTTTGATTTGGGGATTTTTTAAAAGCTGTAAGATGTAATCTTAAAGAAAATGTCTGGTGACAGGTAGGAACGATATTAAACAGAAGTGCCCCTGTGTGAGCGCTTTATAAACAGAGATTTAATTGTTTGTATGTACACTGTTGTTACAAGAGAATTTGTAAGACACGCAGTTTTCAGACAACAGGAGCTGACCCCAGGTGGTGAGGCTGTGTTTAGGAAAGCGGTTGGAACTCCACTCCACCTGCCCTCCCAGGGCTCAAGGGGAGAGTTTGGAGAAACCCATTCAGCACTGCACAGGCCTTATAAACTATTCTAAAAAAGCTTCTCAAAGAAATGTTTCCCTTCAGAACCCTAGAAGTAGAAGAGGAGAAAACCTAGGCTAATGTGTTTCTTGTCTGCTTTACCTTTTTTTCTGAAGGAATGCAGAAGGACTTTGCAAAGTCTAACTCCTGTATAAAATGGGTAGAGGTCCTGTGTTACTGCTGCCTGAAGGGAGGACCATGGCGCTTCGCAATGAAATGTCCTGGTCAAGTCTGGGGAGTGGCGATGAGCACAGACAGGCTGGGTCCGAATCCCAGAAAGGCTCTCTGCTGTGTGTAGGACATGGGCAGTTCATTAAACCTGCCAGTGCTTCTATGCCTTCATCTGTAAGATGGGAATAATAGCATTGCTTATGCAGTTGTTTAGAGGATTCAGTGAATGAATATTTGTGTATGGCTTGCAGCAGTGTCTAGAACAAAGCACTATAGAAGTGTTTTCTGTTTTTATTACCAAAATTACTGTGCCTGCTAAATTGTCAATTGACTAAGGCTTTAATATCTCTCTGTAATAATTCACAATTATTTCAGGTCTCATTTGTGTCATGTGATAATAGACGACACTGCATTTCATACCTGGTCTTTTTTAATTTAATGTTTATTAAACAAAAGCAACTTTTAAAAGGCATTTAAGGGAAAAGCATCTTACACTAGAGAGAAATGTTTAAAGTACTTCAGCAACCTATAATTATATGTAGTATATGAATTTTGCACAACTCCAGTAGAATTCATTGTTTAATATCTAATAGGCTTTTATAAACACATGAGAGGAATATTTAACCTTTGCTAAAAAATTCTTAAAAAATTAATATTCACCAATATTTATTGATTTAAAGTTGTACATTGACATTTAGAAATATATCATTGTGAAGCTATCTCTTTTCAAATTTAGTTGAAATTTTGATTAATTTTTAAGTTTTACCAATATTAAATCAAAGTTTTTATCAGGTAGAAAGGAGGATCATCTGGAAAAGGATCTAAGTGTCAGTTCTTTAAGTAACCAGTTACTAAGACACTCGGTACTGAAGTTCACATGCAGAACATGGCCACTGCATTTGACCATGTACAATGTGCTCCGGGGTATGGTGTGTGCCCACGTTTGTGGTCCGGACTTTCAGGGAAAAAAAATCTTTTAATTTTTTTAATTCAACTTTTTATTTATTTATATTTAGAAACAAAACTGATTATTGTATTCTGGGGCATTATTTTGCATATGGATTTCATCATTGCTTTTTAGGGTTACACTTTTAACGCATAAGCATAAGTGCAAGAATTGAAAATGTATACAGATACAGAATTAGTACTACCCATGTATAATGTGCATCCTTATTTTTCCCTCAAAAATTTGGGCAGAAAGTGCAAATTATACATTGCAAAATATGGTGATTGAATATTGGCACTGTCAATGAGAAAAATAGGTTGCTTATATAAATTTGGTTTTAGAAACATCTTAAATTGTCTAACTTGAATTTTAAATAGGAAAGTACCAAATAAATGCATTTAAAAAATGTTTAACTTTAAAATATATTTTAAATGACATGAAAATTAATGGTCATTTTTAATATTTTGTGCAGCACTAATTTTTCTTTAATAATAAATTAATTTTAAAAATCTTTTATATGATCATATGAAAATCTGATCTTTAGTATCTGAAAAAAGCAAAAAATGAAATTAAAGGTCAAGTGTTTTGGTAGTGTTTATTTTTTCTGTATATAAAATGGAAGTTGGATTATTTTTTAGTGAAAAGTATATTCATTAAATATTTCTTAAGCGCATTTTATATGCTAGAAACTGTGGCAATTACTGGTTTTACATTGATAGAACAAAAATTATTTGTATATTCAAATATTTAAATATCTGTCATAGGAGATGGATAAAGCAAAAACAAGCATAGAATTACAGAATCTGTAAAGTCTGATTAAGGAAAGTGGAGCAGCGGGCAGAGAGGGACTGGAGGACCTGTGTCATAAAACTGGGAATTTTAGGGAATTCCCTGGAGGGAATTCCCACAGGCCTGGAGGCCTGGAGGACCTGTGTGATTTTAGGGAATAGGATATTTTAGGGAAATAGGATATTTACTTATAGGGAATGAATTCTGAGCTGTGATCTCAAGCATAAGGAGTCAGCCACATAATCATATCACTCATTCATTCAACAAATCCTTTTTTTTAGTACCCTGTTTGTGTCTGTGTTAGTTGCTGATTATACAGTAGAGCATGAAACATTCTTGAACTTTGCCCTTGCAAAGCACAAGGACTGGTGTGGGAGACAAACATTGAGCACGTAGGCAAATCTATTTAAGAGCTGTGAGCAAGAGGAGTTGGTGCTTTGAGGGAGGATCAGTTTTGTGATCTGCTTTGAACTGGCTTATCAGTTCCAAGGGGAGGAATGTCGGTGTGGATGGTACAGGCAAAACTCTGAAAGATAAGGAGTGGTTAGCAAAGGGAATAGAGGGATAATGGAGGGTTCTAAGGGCCTTTATCTCCCATAGATGTTGATTTTTTTAATAATAAAATGGGAGATTTTAAGTTATTGTGCTTAATTTCACCACAACTTACAAAGTAAAGCAGGTGGGGCTCAAAACAAATCTTGGTTTACGGAATTACGGCTGCAGTTGTGGGTGGAGATGGGTTTCCTTGTCTTTACTTCACAGAGATGGACTGAAATGAATGCAGGGTGATTTGGTTGAATGTCTTATTACTGTGTGTTTGCTCGCTAACTCTTTACTTTTTAATTTTAATGCTGGAAATTTGAAGAACCTTGGATTGGTGGGAGAAGTAAAAATCAGATCTCTGTAACACTTGTGTGTTGCAGTGTTGAGAAAACCCATAGCAGACCAAGAGGAGTTAAAAAGAAGCAGAAAGAAGAGATGGGAAGAGGGCCGGGTAGTTAGCTGTGGTTAAATGATTTTCGGATCTTTGTGCGTTCTTATTACTTATTACAACACATATAAGGCAGTGCTTATATGTGAAAATGTCTGCACTGAGGACCTTCGAAACTTTCCTCCTTCCGATCTGATCTTCTCTAATTTTATCTTAAGCAGAATAAATTGGCCAAGGATCAGTGTGGGAGGCTTGCTGGGAAGTCCATGACACTCAGGAAAAGCCCAGGAGAAAAATTCTCCGCACATTCTGAAGTTTTTCTCTATCTCCAAATCTTCTGAACACGGTGGAACCTTTTGCCAGTTCCTTACCTTCAACATGTCAGAACACTGCAGAAGAAAGAGCGAGATAGCTGTCTTTATCTATTTGTTTAGAAGTGACTTTAAAAAAAAAGTTATTAAAGGCTAAAAGCATCTCGATTGTATCAGTCTGCACTGAGAGACAAGTAGAGAGGAGGATATTCAAAACCTTTAGGATTGTCAGTCTCTAGGAAAGAGAGCTAAAATAAAGCAGAACAAAAAGCCCAAGTAGACATGGTTTTCTTCACTTCTTCCTTAGGTAGTCAGAACTTTTTTTCTGTGTTAAGCCTAAATACGAAACATATGGTTATATTATATTACTTTGTTTCTCATGTTAGTAACTATCTTAAGTGACATTTGCCTTTCATACTTTTTTTTTCAAAAAATGTCAGTGCCTCAATGATTTGGGGATGATTATAACTGATTTTGTGTTTAGACAGTGCTTTTCAGCTTATTTGGTCATAATTAATTTATCTGTGTAAATTATTGACAAAATAACCCAATTGACAAAATGTTACTTTAGCAAAAATAAAGGTCAAGTAAATGCTATAACCTTAATACTACCTTCACGAAAGGGTTATCTGCTTCAAGGGAAATGGGTGCCATGACAGGGCGTGTGACAACACGTTGTTTTGCACTTGGCCGTACAGAGGTGGTGACAACAGTGTTGACAGTGTCATCATGTTAGATGCCTGTGTCAGCTGCTTGCAAAGCGTCATCATGCACATTTTTTCCCTTTGTGTCCTGTCACCGGAACTGTGCGTGGCGGAGGCTGTTGTTCTCTGCATTGCCTAACAGCAGATGGGAACGTACTCAACGCCGTCACATTGCAAGTGTATTTAAAATTCAAGTTAACGGTGCTTCAATGTAAAATAACAACTTCCTGTGTTTTACAGAAAGCGTATGTTTCAGAAGAGATGGGTGAGGTTTGATGGCCATAGCATTTCTTATTACAATAATGAGAAGGTAAGTTTACATTTTACAGTTTTTGGAGATTGCTTGATGCGTACTAAGTGTACTTCAGTAAACTAAGCAGGTGATACATGTTTTTTAAGAATATGGTTTGATTATCACATCAGAAGAATTATAATAGGGTGAAACACTCTTTTCAGTAGTTAAACATTTTATTGGCACCTAAGATTGGAATTTTTAAAAACCTTAGATACCCGATAATTACTTATGGAGGATTTTCTATAGCCTCCCAGAATTGTTCTGAGTGATATACAAATATTTCTTATTCAAGAAAATGCCTTCTTTATCCTAGAGAGCAGTAAGGAGTGTTTGAAAATGACACCATAGCAAGGAATGGCAAAGCCAGGAGGGGTTACTCTATGTTCTGGAAGGGCCTGTGGAAGAATCCAGGAAGGCTTCTTGCATGAGATTTCATGGGCCATGGGTCTTGAAGAAAGCGATGTTCATACGTAGAGACATTGAATAGGACTTGAGAGCAGTGAGAACAGTGAGATGCACAGATGGGAAATCCGTGGGGGATGAACCTGGAAGGGTGTTTGGAGTTAGAACTCACTGAAAATCTGATGATTATGGGAGAGTGGTTACAACACAGTCTTTAGACAATTGAATATCTATGATGGGACACTATTTTCATCAGTTTAGAAATATTTAGGAGGGAAGTGTCATTATGTCTACAAATGTTGTTCAGAAGTTACCTGTCTGATGTATATTTGTATTTACTAAGTATATATTTGCACAAATACATAGTTAGATAAGACAAAAACTGAAGATATTAACAATAGTCAAATCCAAGTGGAGGGAAAGTTTAGAGAAACTTTGACTGTTTGGCATTACTTGGCAGTGATCCAGAGTGTCAAGTAGGTTTAAACACACCTCTTGGAAGTTTGCAAGATAGTGGGGTGAGTATTTTTTCATAGCTGATTTTTCTGCTGTAGCTCTGTTGAGACAACTTCTGTGTGTAGGGTGGGTGCATGGTGGTCTCGGTCTGTTGACATCTGACCCCTAGTTTTCTTCATCCCCAGTGCCTTTCTCCAGTTTGACTGAAATGAGAAGGAAAACTATTTAGGAATGAGATAGGCTTCCGTGCCCCGCTGTGTTGGTGGCGGGGTCACTATCACTACTCAGGGGAGAGAATTTCTATATCCATGTCCATCTGGACTCCCTCTGCCCTTTAAAAGCTCATCTCCCATGCAGTGAGGGGCTGAGTGCCTGTCATATTTTTAAATGTAGATGCAGTAAAAACGATGCAGCCTCGGCTGTAGGAGCAGTCACAGCTACTTTGTGGTGAGGTGTGCGGTTTCAGTGCTCATGGACACCGAGCCGGGGTTCTTTTATGTGTAAATGTGCACTCGGAGGGCGCACAGTCGGGCTTTCAGGAGGCAGTGTGCAGAGTCGCCTGTTCCCCGGTTTTCTTCCGCTTTGCCCAATGCTGCTCAGTCATGTCTCTGCAAGGACTTTTCATTGTATTACTGAAAGTGGCAACATCCCAGTAGCCTTGATATCGTATCACCTGCCAAGAAATCGAGCTCACCCCCATTTTACTCAGCTGTGGGCAGAATTGCCCTGTGGTCGTTTCATTGTCTGAAAGTGGTAGATAAATGACAAACTTGACCTAGATATCTGTGTGTTACAAGCTCAAGGGAGGCTTTAAAATTTCTTTCCTTAAGGAGAATTTTAGTCTGAAAAAGATAGTCATTTGAGCCTGTCGTCATTGAGTTTTTTCCCCTATATTGTCTTTATCGTGTGTGTTGTTAGAAGAGAAATGTAAAAATCAACTTTACGGTGTTAAACATTATGAGATACATCTTGTAATATCTCGTGATAAATTATAAATGATCCATTAGAGGAACTGCAACTTCCTGAGGTTAAAGCAACACAATATTTAGCTTCTTAAGTACATTTTGATCACTTCTGGAGAATTATTTTTCTATTACTATTCTATTAAGTACTTCCTTGTTAAATATAATTTTATCATTATAGGTTTGGAGGTGAGTTGTTATTTTTTCAAGGACTTGTCTTTTAATCTCTTTAAAGAGATCTAGGGGAAGGAAAAATCTTTTAAAATTTCTGTTTCTTTTTCTACAATGCTACTTGATTTTTTTCCTACTGAAAAATGGTTAATGATAACATTTTATTCCACAAATAGCTAATTATCTCACTAGAAATATAATTTTATAAGCTCTGCTAATTCTTAGGCAAACTGAAATTTGAGAATGGCTTACCTAAGGGACAAACTCTGCTTGTTCTTGGACAGCCTAGATTTGTGACAGTTTAGCCTCAGCCCTTACAGCCAGGGAGGCCCATCCCCTGTCCCCCGGGATGCTGCACCCTCCCCCAAGCCGTGGGCTGCCTGACGGTGGGGACCTGTTCTCTCCCTCCTGTCATTCCTGGAGCCCTTAGCGATCTCATCATGCCACTGTAATCCACCCGCATTTATTCGGCTTCCTTTGTCAAGCCAGTCATTTAGTTTATTTCTTTGCAATGGCCTTTTCCAACTGTGTCTGGATACACTGGGAAACTGAAGCGTGTTTTTTTCCCTCGTTTTCATCTCCATGTTTTTGCTTATTCCTCTTAGCTTTCCTAGCCATCGCCATCCATCAAAGTCCTGTACAGATTTCAATTCCCATCTTTTCATTCTCCTTTGAGAATCTTTTTTATTTTCTCCAGCTTTGACATATGAACAACAAGATGCGAGGGATGTTCCAGGAAAATAAGTTGAAAGTGGGGAGGCTGATTGGGAGTGTGCGCGGTAAGCCAGGCGCTCACTTTCCAGGTGTCGGCCGCACAGGCCAGTGCAAGTGTTCCGAGGAGAAATTTGGAAAAGCATTAAAAATGAGCTGTCAGAGTTTGGTATGACAGTGATTGATTGGCTATAGCATTCATGTATTTAGAAAATATTTATACGATACTGATTATGTGAAAGAGGGTGAGGAAAACAGACATGTAACCCGTATTCTTGTGTGGGCAGTTGGTATTGATCGAAAGCACACAGTAAATATAAAAATCGTCATTTAAATGATATTTAGTGAGTGTCATAAAGGAGAAGTTCAGGTTGCTCTTAGCTTTAGTTAGGGTTACCTGCCTGGGCGGGAACGAGGGCCTGAGGGAGGAGGCTGGCCAGAAAGGCTCTCTTCAGGAGTGTGTCTTATACGGAAAGGTGGAAGTTGTAGGGACATCTTTCCTTGCAAAATACATCAGACAGAAAAAAGTTAAGAACCATACGATTTCCCTTATGTGGGATATAAAACTGAAAGTAACGAATGAACAAACAAGACAGAGAAAAACTCATAGACAGCAGTATGGTGATGACAGGAAGAAAGGGGGTGGGTGGTGACAGAAGATGATCGACCTCGGAGGTGGGCAGGGAACAGGTTGACAGGGTGGCCGAGGGGAGAGCACCAGGTAATGTGGGTGCGGAGGGACTCAAAGACTGTTGTACGTCAGACCTACTTGACTAGAAGAGTGCAGTTTTAATGGGCAGATAGAGAGGGAAGGTAATGTTTTCAGGAGATAAGTGAGTTTTATAAAGTTGAGCTGCTGATGAGACACTTATCTGCACTGTTCATGACTTCAAGTGTCTGAGAGGGGTTGACTGAAATGAATAAGGAAGAAAGGGGCAGGCTGTGGAAATAGCAAGAAAGGACTTTTCTTTCTTAGGGAGGGAAGATAAAAACAATGGAAAATACTGAGAATAAGTTACTTTGTAATTAGTCATTTCTTGACATCCTTCTCCTTTTTCCATGGGGTTGCCCACTCTTCTCCTGAAGTCAGAGTTCTGATTTCAGTGTTGGCTGTCTGCGAGAACATAGGAAAGCCTTCATAGCATCGCTGTTTCAGATGACATTGAAAGAATGAGTAGAATTTTGATGGGTACATAAAGGGATGAGAGACCAGAGCAGAGGTTGTGGAGAAAAAACTGTCAAAGAACTAAGGAAGTTCCGCAGTAGTATAGTCCGTCTTATCCACTAGCAGAGGATGAACCTCCGGGTGGAATGCCACACTGCTGATGGTGACTGTCCCTTACTGACTGTCTCTTACACGTCTGCTATGCATGATGGTTTACCACTGGGAAGAATATGAACTTGGCACTTGTTCTTAGCCTGGAATGGTTTAGTACTTTCTTCTTCTTGAATTTTCTCTCCAGCACAGGGCCTGGTAAACATTGTACCCTTAGTAAATACTCGAGTTTGTGGGGTGGTCATTATGCCATATAGTTTAGGAGGGTCCAGGAAAAGGAAGGCAAAATGACTTTCTTGAGCAAAATTATGATCTGCGTATATCATTTGCAAACAGCCACGTCCATCTTTTTTCATTGCGGAATAAAAAGTAAAGAGATGCTGTTGTGAGACTGAGGTCATCATCAGGGTATCCAGTAACATGGAAAATTGATACAATTCAGCAGTCTGGTTTCTTCGATATATTCTTGTTCATAATATGTAAGAGCAGTCCTTTGAAGTGGTTCAGTTACAGTACCTGCTATGGCCAGCAGATGCCTGCAAACACCATAAAATCACTTTGACCAGATCGTATTAAAGAACATGCTGCTGGTGTTTTTGGCCAGTTTAGTAGGATCGTTTATATTTGATTTTTTGCCTTTTAATTCCTGATGAAGAGAATATGAAAGATGTTTTACTTGAAAGGAACATTTATATTTTTTTCCTGAGGGTATTAAGTGTATATGAGATTATATGCCTATACTATTTGTATGTCATTTAAAAAATTAGATTGAAATCATGAAAGGGAAGCTCTTATAAATGTTGTACCATTTTTTTCAATAAGAGCAAGAAAATTTCATTTTAATGTGTCTCCTTTTGTGTATCTTTTTTCTGTAACCAATCCAGGAGAAGTATTCCAAAGGAATGATTCCCCTTTCTGCTATATCTACAGTACGAGTTCAAGGAGACAACAAATTTGAGGTTGTTACAACACAAAGAACTTTTGTTTTTAGAGTGGAAAAAGAAGGTAAGATGATTTCTTTGTTCCCATAAAAACTCTTGCAGACAGTCATGTATTTCTGAACATTCAGAAGATTAATAAACCAGTTACGCTAGAAATGTCAAGAAATCTTTAAATTCGTTACTTTTAAAATAATGTGCGTTTAATATTAATGTTTCGAGTGCCATAAACAAGTTGACAAGTCATTTGTTCACTGTTCTTACTTGCAACTAATACTTAGTGGGAACCTCCTGTGTGTCAAGGACTCTTCTAAGCTCTGGGTGTATAGCCGTGGAAAATGCGGACAGATGTCTCTGCTCTGTCAGAGCTCTCCTGTTAGCTGTTGTTTTGATGATGCAAAGTAGTGACTTGGTATGCCAAATCAATTTTTCCAGCTATGAAAGGTTGGGTTTTATGGAAGTTTTCACAGGGCAGGTTTCAACTGAACACACACAGGCACAGTAATCGTTCTCACATGGATTTTGGAGCATCTTTTATTTTCCTTGAATTATTTTTCCTGCAGCATCTGCTGTAGGTCACCTGAGGGTGGAAATTGATCTAAAGATAGTTTGGGGATGCAGTCGACACTTTTAAATCTTCTCTGTTTTTTGGGGTGGGAAAAGGGAGGGAGACCAGGGCAGTTAGAAGTTTTCTATTGTGTATTTTGGTGGACTGCCAATAATGTAATTCATATAAAACTTCTGTTTTTAAATAATATAGGTAAGATTGTCTTCATTAATTAAATAGGATTTTAATGTATTTTGAAGCCCACTTTTAGTATAGATTATAACAACTTGATTTTTAAAAGTTCTTTTACTTCTTGGCACTTAATTATTGGAATAATGGTAATAGAGAAAACTTACTGAATATAAGCTGTGAGCCAGAAAATCAAAATGCTTCATTTTCACAATAGTTTTACAAGGTATGTAGGTATGACAATCACTATTCTATTTTACACATATAAGTATTTACCTTTTATAAACTACAATGATATTAAGTGTTATGGGACAGTATTTATCTTTTTCATACTGTCAGCTTCCTAGAACATACACTTGGACATGGCCAGTAGAAAGCATTCAAACTATCTTTCCCTAACTATCATATATTCCTAGAAAGCTCCCTGTATTGCTTGGGATAATGAGTAAGTCCCAGTTGCTGTTGATACTGGAGCAGCTTTTGTCAAACTGGAATTACCACCCACTTGTGAGATCAACTTAGTACTTTCTGATATCAAAAGAACCGTCCCCCCCGCCCCCCTCCCTGCCCGCCATGAAACAAAACAACTACAAAAAAAGAATAAGAAATGCCAGAGTACAGCGTTTCCAGTAAGCACTGTATTGGGAGACATACCGATGCGCCTGTTGTACATCTGGAATGTAAACAGAGTTTCTTACTTGCTATCAAGAGACACTGAGAGCGTTCATCTAGAGCAGGGTGGACACGCCACACCCTGTAGCCGAAGTCTGGCTCTCCACTTCTTTTTGTAAATGAAACCTGGTGAAATCACAACTGCTCTTTCTCGCTGACATGGCATTTTTGGCTGTTTTCTGTCTCCATGACAGTACTGAGTTGTTGCTGCACAGACTCCATGGTTAGGAACCCCAACTGTCTGGCCCTTTACAGAAATTGTAGACCTGCCTATGTGAGAAGCCGCTTTTCGTGACTCATTTTCTCGAAAAGTTCAGAAAGTTGTGATATTCGCTACAGAACTGGTGTTTGAACTCAGTTTTCCCTTAGGCTAGTTCTTAAAACACATGGCATTGCTGCTCTTGGCTGGCTGGCCTGGTGATCTTCCCTTCTGCTCTGGTTCCCGTGGCCCCAGAGGTGCCACCTGCTTCTTTGAGGTGCTTCTCACCTTGCCCTTGGCCTCTCACAGTGAACTTCACATATGCCACGTGGCCTGCATTTTAAGATGGACATACTAAATAAAGTTTCCAAATTGTGTGAAAATCTGTTTAACCCTATGTGCTTGCTGTGGTTAAAAGTTAGACACACATTTTATTTAAGTAGAATGGATCACCCCACATGTGTTGACAAGTTGTAGGTTTATAATGGACCCTTAAATCCTTCTGTGATGCACAGTTCATCTCTGAGATGTCCACTTAGTACAAGAATTTTATGAACTTGGGTGAAGATTATTTATTAAGTCTTAGATCTTTAATTTTTGAAAGCATGAAAATACTATTGTAGTGAAAAGAAAGACTATTCACATAGATTACTGAATAAGTTATTTTCATCGAAAGTCATTTTTGCATAGTAACAACTCACATTTTTGCATAGTAACAACTCACATTTTTAAAGATATGTGGATGTAGAGGTGTGTGTGCATATACATATATGTAAATGGTATATATGTGTCCATATGGTTAGTATGGAACTTTCAGCCAGATGCTAAATGGGCTTATTAAGAGTATTTTTTCCTTCCAAGTATTTATCTGATTATTTTTTATTTTGTGGGAACCTCAGAAATCAGTCATGTGACATATTTGACTTAATGAACTTGAAACCAAATTGAACTTGGTTTCAATCTGTTCCTCATAGAAGACCAAAGGTAGAACAGAAAGGGGAAATGCTTTCATGTCCTAGCAGAGGAGACTTCTTTGTTTTCGGCAGAAAGGTTCTGAATGACCTGCAACAGCGGCTCCCCTCGTCCCCCCTGAAGCCGGCGCTGCTCTTTCCAGACCACTGCACAGCCCACCGTTAAGACGGGGTTACACTTGGGCATTTCCACCCCACACATTTTCAAAGGCTTCAGTTCCCCTAGGTTTCCTAGTGCCATATTGTCGTTCTCTTGGTTGAAAGTGAAGTATACCGAAGTAATAACATGTTAGAAACGCTCTTCCTCGTATGTAAAATTTAGTGTGATTCTTTTTGTCCTCAAGCAGAACCACTGGGACTGGTCATAACAGCTGACGATCTCTTCATTTAGTCCCTGTTCCCTTGGCACCTGCTGTCACACACGCAGATGTGCTGCTTCAAAAAGCAGGCGATGTTTGGGCGGTGCTCCCAGTTCAAAGAAGGCTTAAGAATTCTGCCTGGTCATTCCCATTCCAAGGCCATTGTCAGCACTGGCTGTCAGCTGCAGGTTCACGTTCCTATCCACTTTAGCCAATTCCAGACTCCTGGGAGACCGGCAGGTGTGTCCTTTCCACCATGTTTCTGGACAACAACATACGACCCTCCAGTGGCAGCTGTGATACTGCAGAGCTTTTACTGATTATTTATTCATTCATTCATTCATTCATTCATTCATTCATAAAGAACACTTGAGATAAAAAAACTTAAATTCCCCTTAGATGTTTTGGGCAAGCTGACTTACCTGTCTTAAAATCCTCAGTGTTTTAGAAGCAAGGCATGGGGCATTTACTACCGGGATGGAGAGCCAGGGGATTGAAAGCTCTCAGCCGTGTCCTCTGATAGACTTCTTATAATACAGTAGGCTACAGACTGCAGAGTCGTTTCTCTCGCATACATCACATCCAGTCCATCGTCGAATCTTACCACTTTGACTTTGGAAGTATGTCTGTCTTCAGACCAGTTCTCATTACCTCCACTGTTACCACTCGGGTACAAGCCACCACTTCTGACTGGATTGTTGTAATCGCCTCCCTTGATTGACTACAGTCATATCTTCACTACAGCTATCAGAGTGGTCGTTGAACAAGAAAGGTCATCGCAGGCCACTTCAGATGCCTTGTTGTCTTTCCGTTTCACTGAGAGTGAGGTGCTCCTGATGTCCAAAGGCCCCCCTGCGCAGTCTGGCCCCGGTTCCTCTGCCCATGTCGTCTCTGTGCTCTCCCTCACTCACTACATTTCCACTGCAGGGGCCTCCCATTCTGTGAACCTACCAAACCTGCTGTTTGTTGTTTTAGAGTTTTAACACTTGCTGCCTATTTTTTTTTAATCCTGGAGTGCTCTTCCTCCAGCCATCTTCTTGACTTGCTCTCTTACTGCTTCTTCCTTTAGAGTTTTGCTCAACCATCACCTTCCTAGGCTTTTTCTATTACCCTACATAAAACGTAGGGTTTTCACCGTGTCCCTCATCTCATTCTTTATTTTACCCTATTGGACTTGTCACTGTGCTACCTGTTCTTGCCTTCCTCTTTTCACAGGAATGTGAGCTCCAGGAGAGAAAGGTAGATCTGTCCTGTTCCCTCTTCGGTCCTGGTATTTAGAGTAGGTCTTGGAAGATAGGAGGCATTCAGTAAATATTTGTATGAATGAATCATTATTGATTACAAGAACAACCCTGGCATGCAATATTTCCTTCTCTAAAATCGATCATGAGTTACATGATGGGATTTTTTATATTGTATATCATATAAGATATACAGTGTAAGAATACAGTATTATCATAGCAGATTATAGTACATCAAAAGGGTCCGTCTAAACGTGGATAGATTATGTTATTAATCTGTCACACAGCCCTTGTCTAGTAATAATACTTAGAGTAATCAATCCTTTGTTACTAGTATTTATGCCTACTGCTAAATCCGATAGTTCAGAGAATATTAAGTCTGTCCTGTTGATTTTTTAAAAAATTTCCTTTTTTGAGTCTTATAGCATAGTTGACATTCCTGAACACCTCGAGAACTGATTTGAGGTTTGAGGGAATTGCTGTTGTTTCTCCTACTTCTCCCCCTTTTTTTTTCCTTCTAAACTTGAAATGTTCTACTTTAAGCAAAGCCATATCCAGGTCAGAGCATGTTCTCAGAAGGGATGGTGCATAGACACTTGGTAAATATTTGTTATTGGAAAGAATAAAAGTACCTTGGTGTGAAGAGCCAGCAAAGCTAACATAGCATCTAGCTTTGCCCTCAACACTTTGCCCAAGGGAAAAATTATTATTTGTTTTGGAATACTGTGACTTGCCAAAGCGTGTCTCCCATGTCTAAGGATATGCGTGTTGTATGGCCGAATAAGGAATGAAACTTGTAATCTATTTTATTGTTTGAATTTTCTGTATCATTGTTATATCTTTGTTGGCATGAATTATTAAGAATAAGCTGAGTGTTACTATTAATTCCTAATCGTCTTTACGACTGTTCGCTTCCTATTAGTTGATGAGGCCTTTGGGAGCTTGATAATTCTTCTAGGCTGTAAGCGGACCATTTGCTGAGATGCAGCCTTAATGTGCTGAAGTCCAACAGATGCGATTGCCTGTTTCAAATTATTTCCAGACACTGAGATCTCTGCTCACAGTAATCAAGAAGGCACACACACTTTGGCCCAGTATGTATAATTATAGCCAACATTTTAAACTCAGTGACTTACGCGGACACAAACAAGCAGAAAACATTATATATATATACTTGGCAGGACTATCATGTGTGAAACTAATGATCACAAGTAATAACCAAGTTAAGTGGAAAGTCTGCTGTTGTTACTGAAAATGTAATAAATTATCATGATGCAGTCTGGATCTGTTTATGTAGATGTAAAATGTAGAATAGCTGCTGCATGTTGACATTGACTTAGCAACTTGAATATCTTTACATCTTGTAGTTTATGAAATGATGCTGGAGTAGTTCAGTAAATATTTTGTCCTGATATATAGGAACAAGCACCATTACCTGGGGATTATGTAACACCTACAGTAGTCCTTGTTGAGTGACTTTTTAGTAAATACTTTGACTTTGGTCATTAGAGATACAATTGACTCTTGTTAGTAGTTTTGAAGGTGATGAGAATGAAGATAATTTTAAAATTTAGACATATTATGAAAAAACTGATTTTAGTAGTTTTGAAGGTGAGCAAATATGAAGGAAGATAGTTGAAAATTAAGACTCATATTAGGAAATAACTTTGGATTCTTATTTTACTGTGAGCAAGTCTAATATGGAAACATAGTTCAATTTACAATGAAGTTATTCTGGCCAGACCTGTTGTAGAAGGATCTGAGTTACTGTCCGATTTCCCAAGCTTTGGGAAGGAGTATCTTTCGCCTTCTTCAATGTTTTTCCTGCCTGGAATTCACTGTTTTTTCCTTTTGCCTTCATATCCACTGCTTTATTTTTTTCTTTTTTTGCTAACCCATTTTCCAGATTCATAGATAGAGTTGTCATTCAAGGTTTATCTGTTTCTTCTTCATTTACATTAAACATTTATCCACATCCATGTGTCTTTCTTTGTATAAGTGATATTTGTTTTCATGCTGCTGTCGGTCTCCCTCGATGCTCATGCCTGAGCACTGAGAACCTGGGGTAGTTCTGTTAATAAAATGGAATTTTTTACCTTCTTTGTCCGATCAATACACAACACCAAGGTAACTGTTCTGAGTCATTTATTTTTTTTGTGAATACCTGTCATACATATTCAGAACCTCAGCTACTTTCTACTCCTCTTAATGTCTTGACTTTTTGTGTCTTTATTTCCCTTTTCATTGCACTTTTAAGTCTCTCTCTAGCCTTATTCCTGAATGTCCAAGCCTTTTTTTTTGTCCACCTATTGTCATCCTAATTACATCCCTTCCTTGCTAAGAATCCTCTAATACCTTTGCATCTTAATAAAGACAAAATTCCTTACATAGGCACTGGAGAATATCTAGTCCTATTTTCAATTATTTCCTTTTGAGCTTAAAATTATAAATATGTTTGTTTATAATTTAGTCCCTGAACAGATGCTGGTTCTGTCTTTGTTCTTGTGTTTTCCTCTGCTTACTTTGAGTTGTAAGTTCCACTTTTTCCTCTCCTCTTCAAGACACCAGTTCTTTTTAACCATTTTTTAGTTTTCAATTACAGTTGATATACATTATTATATCATTTCTGGTGTACACCCCAGTGATTAGACATCATACAACTTACTAAGTGATTATCCCAATAAATTGTGTACCCACCTGACATCATACATCGTTATTAAAATGTTATTGACTATATTTCTTATATTGTATTTTACACCCCCATGAATACTCTGTAGCAACCAATTTGTGCTTCTTAATCCCTTCACCTTTTTCACCCATCCTCCTCACCCCTGTCCCATCTGGCCACCATCAAAGTGTTCTCTGCATTTGAGTCTGTTTCTGTTCTGCTTATTTGTTTTGTAGATTCTATTATTGACAAATATGTATTTATTGCTGTTTTATTTTTCATGTTTCTTATCTTTTTTCCCTTCTTAAAGAAGACCCTTTAACATTTCATGTACTATTGGTTTGGTAGTGATGAACTCTTTTAGCCTTTTCTTGTCTAGGAACTTCTTCATATATCCTTTAATTCTAAATGATAGCTTTCCTGGGTAGAGTAATCTTGATTGTAGTTCCTTTTTTTTGCATCACTCTGAATATTTCTTGCTAATACCTTCTGGTCTGAAAAATTTCTGTTGAGAAATCAGCTGACATTCTTATGGAAGCTTCTTTGTGGGTAAGTAACTGCTTTTCTCTTGCTGCTGTTAAGATTCTCTTCTTTCCTTTTTAACCTTTTGCATTTTAATTTTGATGTGTCTTGGTGTGGGCCTCTTTGGGTTCATCTTGCTTGGGACTCTCTGTGCTTCCTGGACTTGTATGTCTACTTTCTTCTCCAGGTCAGGGAAGTTTCCTATCATTTTTTTCAAATAGGTTTTCAAGTTCTTGCTCTTTCTCTTCTCCTTCCAGCAACCCCATGATGTGAATGTTGGTACAGTTGAAGTTGTTCCAGAGGCTCCTTACACTAACCTCATTTTTGGGGGGGATTTTTTTGTTTGTTTCTGCTATTCTGATCTGGTGTTTTTATTTCTATATTCCAAATTGCTGATTTGATTCTCAGCTTCATCTACTCTACTATTGATTCCCTGTGAATTATTTTTCAATTGAGTTAATGTATACTTCATTTCTGACTTGATTTTTTTTATGGTTTCTGTGTCCTTTTTTATGCTGTTGAAGTTCTCCTTAAGTTCGTGGAGCATCTTTATAACCAGTATTTTGAACTCTGCATCTAATAGATTGCTAGTCACCATTCTGTTTTGTTCTTTTTCTGGAGTTTTGTTCTGTTCTTTCATTTGGGACATATTTCTTTATCCCCTCATTTTGGCAGCCTTCCTGTGTTTGTTTCTATATATTAGGTAGCTGCTATGTCTCCTGGGCTTTCCAAACCTCAGTTTTGTCTTTTCAATTGTTCTTCATTCTCAAGTCCTACCACAAATACCCCTTCTTTTCATAGTCCCAGAAACAGTTGTCTGACAGCTAAAACACTGGATTCTCTTAAGTTTAATACTAACGTACTTCATACTCTTAGGCAAATCACTTACCATCATTGAATTGATTAATTATTTGACACCATTTGTACGACTCTTTGTACTCCGTGTTCCATTTTGTGTTCATATCTAACTTGACTTATAGCTTTGATTGCTCTCTGGGAATGAGATCCAATTCCTGTGCCCATAACATGTTTTGTATATGAAGGCCACCTAGCTTTGGTGAAGTGACAGACCCACATTTTAATTTACCGAATGAGTTGCTATTGTTAGTGACTCTGTTGAGAATGGAATGAATAAATGAATATCAAGGCAATGTACTGTTAAACAGAGTATGTTCTAAGTGACAGGAAGGAAGATTTTCTGGGCGTTGAGTAACTTAATTGCCAAGTACAATATTTTAACTGTTCGGTCACATTATTACTTTCTTCTATTAAAAGAGAAAATCCAATCTCATGAGTAATCCTGAAGAGTACTTCTTAAACATGAACATGGAAACATGTCCTCTGGGGATCTTTTTAAAAACAGGATGATTCTGATTCATCATGTTTGGAGCGGGGTCTGAGATTTTTGCGTTTCTAACAAGCTTCCAGGTAGGGCCATTGTTACTGGTTACAGGACTACAGAGCAGTGTGTGTGATTCCTCTTCCTTACAGAACAGGGCTCTTGGCCCTGCCTGCAGTAGCATTTAGAGTGTGGTCATGGGAAAGAGTCTTCGAATTACCTGTTGTAAAGAGAGTAGAGGCCTAATGTTGCTATGTGCATGCCATTTATATAAGTGTGGATATGTATTTTCTCCCATCTTTATTTTCAGAGGAGAGAAATGACTGGATGAGCGTACTCCTAAACGCACTGAAATCGCAGTCCCCCTCGCAGTCTCAAACAGTTGCTGCACCTGATAAATGTGGATATCTTGAATTGAGAGGTTATAAAGCCAAAATTTTTACCGCGTTAAGTGGAAACAGTGTGTGGCTCTGCAAAAATGAACAGGTAAGCCGTGTTACTGCAGTTGCAAATTGCAGTTCGTTGGTTACACTAGCAACGGGGCCTTGTTGGGCTAATCAGTGTTTTTGCTTACAGTCTTGCTTTTGCCTTGAGTACTCCACAAAATATAACAAAGAGAGTTGTTTTGTTGACTTTTCTCAGTCATTCAGTAGCAAGAAAGTAGTCTACATTGGATTTCAGGCTAGACATTACCTTTTTAAGGGACTGAGGAAATAGACTCATTGAAAATAATTTTTGAAAAGTATTCCTCAGATGAAGAGATATTATTAAACAACATGAGAGAATAATTAAGGACAAATTCGACATTACAGCTGTTGATGAAACAGGCCCAGTACTGCATCTGTTGTGTTTCATTTCTTTCTTTTTCTTTTCTGTTTTCGCGATTTTGTGACAGAAAGCTACAGAGTAGGCATGTATTTTTCTTTAGTTTATACCATCTTGGCTTTTTTTTTTTTTGAGCAGATATGTTTGTTATTTACTAGTAGGGGACTAATTTATTAGAGGTAAGTGACTGCTATACACACATTCACACATATGTACATACACACATCATCACAAATATAAATAAAATAGGCTTGTTGACTTATTGAATTTGGTTAATATCAAAGGACTCGATAGAAAATTTAAATGTTTTGAGGAGACTGATTTTAAAGTTCTATGAATTTCATTAACTTCGTGTGATTCCGTAGCCATTCCTTTCCTATCATATGTTGATTTTAATATGTATAAGAAAATTGTTTTCTTAACTCTTTTGGGGAATTAATTACTTGATCTTTCAGCTTAGAATATAGTCAGTGCTTAGTAATTATTTGTGGAATCAAATGGTGTGCTTTGGATAGCTGATCAAAAATGAACTCATTTTATGATTCATTTTGATGAGGTTTGATATGGTAAAATATGAATGCTGACTGTTTTGAAAACAAAACTAGAGATACCAACTCAAAACAAACAACAGTAGTTTCAAAAAATTAACTATAGATCTTTATACAAGCCATCCTCTGACCTTCAGTATAAACTTATTCATTACATTTTTTTCCAGGGGGTAAGATTTGTTAGCCAGTTAACTGTGGGCAGTGTTAGTTGAGCCCTGTTGGCATTTTAATAACTCGGAAGTAGGTAGCATATTCCTCAAGAATAGTGATGTGTAGCTTAATAATGTGTATGAATTCTGTATGAACATTCAGTTTGTAAAGTAAGATGATTAAACCTTTTCTTGGAATGGAGATTAAAAATGCCTCATGTGCATGTATCAGTATGGAAGTTACTCTGCCAAATGAATACCACAAGTTAATTGAGGTGTTCATCTTTTACTTGCACAGACTTGAAGGGCCTCAAATTATCAGTGTAATTACTTACATTAGTTAGATTGGTTGAGTTGGTTATTCTCTAAAAGTAGAGTGTTAAGGTTTTATTAATATTTTCTGAATAGCTGGAGGTTAGGGAATTTTTATTTAATATTAGTAATTGAGCATAAAATGGATAATAATGACCATCATTTGGTTTTGTTTTTAAATTTTATTTATTGATTTTAGAGAAGAGGGGGAGAGAGTGAGAGAAACATCAATTTTGTTGTTCCACCTACAACCTTGGCATATCGGGATAGTGCTCTCAGCAGCCGAGCTACTTGGCTGGGCATGACTGCCATTTGTTGAGTACCAGCTACTTGCTAATTATTTACAGACATTCTTTTTAATCTTTCCCACAAATGGAAGGGGAAGATATTCTTATCCATGATTTATAGATGAGGAAAACAAGGATTAAGTAACTCGTTTAGGGATTACAGTTCATTATTTAGAGTTTACTTTAAAACCAGAATTTGGTAACTCTCAGCCTAGCTTCTTAGCTGCTATATGAAACTATCTTCTTAAAGTGTATATTGAAAAGAAAATATGTGGCCTGTGACCTTTCAGAAATAGACTCAGATCCTTTCCTTGAATAATTTAGTTGCCTAGAAGGTTCCCAGTGTTCTTCCAATAAACATTGTACCCCGTCAGGCCCTTGGAAAGTGACATGCTAACTGGACGGCCCAAGGTGTCCCGAGGCAAAGTCGAAGACCAGCGTTTCTGGTCAGTGGTGAGCTCAGTGCTGTTAGACTTGTGTAAGCATCACAGAGAAGTGCGGAACACGGGCGTCTGATGAAGCCTGAGAATTAGAACACTTCCAGGTACACGCAAAATGAATATACTCTCATTAAAACTAAAGCCTTAATACTTGGCCCCTCCTCATATTTGGAGGAGTAAACGTTTTTTGTATGTATGTCTATTTCAGGTCCTTTTAAATGCATTAATGTGCATCTATACATTTTATATGTATAAACCCACACACACTTAAAAAGTGCATACTATTGTTTGTATGTGTGTTCTTTTAAAAAATTGCATCATATTAATCATATTGTATGAAGCCATGTCTTAAGGGACTTGGTCTGAAGAACTAGTTCCCTGAAGACAGGATGGGCACATTGAGGAAGGCCCTCTATGTTTAGGCCCTGACGTACCATTCTGATTTAATTTATTTTTATATCCCACTACATGCTGTTCCTTTGAGGTAATTTGCCCAATGATTTGCTGACATGGTTTAGCAAATTGTGTGAAGAATTTGGGTGACATGCTAAATAAGAAATCTTTTTCTTGAATGCAGAGGGCTTTAAGCTAGTGTTTAGGAAAAGCACTGAGAGATAACAGAATAGTCCGATGCAACTTCTAAGTTTTATACACTATATAAAGGATGATGGGAAAAAAATCTCATCATAAACATAAAGGGTGTTAGATTTGAGCCTTTGTATCTTAATATGTATTGGCTCTAATTTAGTTCTATGCATCAAAGCTAACTTATTTTAATTAAAAAATTTTAAATCAGTGAATCTGTTGTCCATATAATTTGCAGTGCAACTAGAACAAAAAATAAAGAAAAGGGACCTTCACTACCCTAACATATGAACAATTTATAATTTTCTTTCCTCTATTTGTACATAGTTTTACTAATTTACTTTGGAGGTGACTAGAGGGAGTAAACGGAGAGCGGTGGAAGGGCAGGCGCTGCAGCCTACGTGGAAGAGCGGTGATAAAAGGAACCTGAGAGCACATTCAGAACAAAGAACATTGGACTGGGTGGTAGCAGTTCTGGGTGTTCAGTCTTGCTCTGCTATTTACCGGCTCAAATAATTAAATTAGTCTCCTTAGGTTTAAATGGCATCATGGGAAGAAAGAGATGGATTTCTGTCTTTTTTTTAAAGTTGTACATTAACGTTCCAGATATCTGGATGCATTAGACCCACTGACTTAGAATTTCTGCAGGTGGTGTAGTGAAACCTGCTTTGTAGAAAGCATCTTCGTGATTCAGTGACAGGACAGCCCAAAACTGCACCCAGGAAAACACTGCTTTAAGGTTTTTCTTCTTTAGGAACTATAAGCATCCAGGTAAAGTGAACAAGATATTTCTGGAGCTGGAAACTATGTAAAAACAGCCTTCCACAACTTTGGGTGCTTCTTTATCTCATCATCTATCAACTTGGGGTTGCTTTACAAACTCTTTTTGTGATTGCTTCATTTGTGAGCATGTTTTTTGATTGAATATTTTGAAATATGAACATTTACATAGAAAGTTAAAAAAATCATTCTTAGTGGTAATAAATTTAAAAATTTGAAGAACTGTTACTAATAAATTACATATGTTCTAAACTATAGCTACCTGGTTTATGTTTTTTTGCTAGAATCTTAATACTTTTATATGAATTCATTTTTCAGCATGCAAATTCTATTTCAGTTTTTTTTCTTCACACAGACTTTTATTACCAGAGAATGCACTGTTGGAGGCATTAAAATTGCATTTGCAAAGCCAGCATAAAAGAAAGTGTTTGAAACTGTTAGATACCTTAGGTTCCTTTAACTCTGTGTATGTCTGGAAATTTACTATAATGTTGTAGGTTATTACTAATCTTTTCTAAAGCCTTTTCCCTACTTCCAATAGGTGTCCCTAAGGTTCCATGTCAGGCATCCCTAAAAATCTATTTTTGGTAATTCTTTTACTTCTCTGGATCTATTCTTTCTACTGAATCAAGAACTTCTGTGTATTTTCTAAGTTAAAATAGCTATCAGAACAGACATTTTTATAATTACTGCTTTATTTTTTAACTTCTCTTTCTCTTTTAAATCCTCAGCCAAGGATATGTTTAATGATTTTGGAGAGAGAGGAAGGGAGAGATAGGGGAGAGAGAGGGGGAAACATCCATGTGAGAGAGAAATACTGATTGACGGATTGCCTCTCATGTGCACCTGACCTGGGGTCAAAACCTGCAACCCTGCTGTGTGCCTTGACTGGAGATTGGACCCACAACCTTTTGGTGAGCCACCTGGCTGGTACAAATTTCTTCTCTTTTAAGAGAAGTGGCATCATGATGGCAAGGGAGATGCCAGTCTGCACGCTCCCTTGTGCATTTCACTAGCAGGTCCAGACTCTGTGCAGTCAAGACAGACTTTTCTCAGTTGCTCAGTTGTAACATTTACCTTTTTCGTCTCTTTCTTTCCCTTGCACACATTAGCAGATTGTAGGAACTGAAACATGAAGTCGCTCTTGGCTGAGTAAGAGAAATGCCCTAAGGAATGTTGGTTGGTTGGTTTTGTTATTTTTCCAGATAGGCTGTAAAAAGTAGAAAAAGCACCATAAAAAAGAAAATCAAAACATTTGTTAGAGAGAAAGGTAGCAAAGTATAAAATGACACTGAAATTCTTTATTTTAGTTGATTTTAAATTATAGTCACATGTTCTATTAATTCCAGGTATACAACACAGTGATCCCACATTTATATACCTTACTATGTAATCACTATAAGAAGTCCAGTTACCACCTGTCACCTTATAGTTTCTACAATATTATTGACTGTATTCTCTTTGTTGTATGTTATAGCCTCATGATCTTTTTATAACTGGAAGATTTGTGCCTGTTAATCCCCTTCCCCTTTCCCACCTGTTTCCTCATTTCCTCCCCTT